TTTATAAAATGTTTCAGAATTCTAAAGTCACAGGAATTTAATTAACGTGTGTGTGTGAGTGTGTGTGTGTGTGTGTGTGTGTGTGTGTGTGTTTTAAAGAGTTAAGAAAGCAGAATAAGACCAGAGGTGGGCAGTAGGGCTAGTGTAGATAAAACAAACCAGGGCACATGTTAATAAGCAGTCATGCCTGCTGATAGGCTTCCCAGTTCCCTGCCTGAAGTCATAAATTGGAACTGAGTTTCCTGGAAACCTAAATAAAAACGAAAAGAAGCCATTTGTTCAGAAGGAAAACTGTTTCTCCTGACGGCTGACAGAAATGTCTTCCATGGGTATTTATTGAGTGCTTCTCACTCATGGCTGCAGACCAGGCTTCCCCGGGAACTCTTAAGATGCTCATGCCTGGGCCCTACCCAGACCAATTAAAACAGCATTTCTGGAGGAAGGGCCTGGGTATCAGCATATTTTCTTTAAAACTCCCCAGATGTTCCTAATGTGTAGCCAGGATCAAAAAGCACTGACAGAGTGAATTCTGAGTCACTCATGGGGCGACATGTCTACGCTGAGTCCCAGAGCAGCGAGTTCTCTGCGTCCCAAGGCGGCCTGCCCATGTGGAGCAGGGGAGTGGTTTGGAACCTGATCTGGAGGTGGGTCTCCCAGCTCCATTTCTGATATTTTCCCCGGGAATGGAGCAAGGGAGGGGTGAAGGGTTTTAGAAACTGGAACTGAGATTAAGTTGAGTATGATTCCCATGAACGGACTTTGAGTAACGTGATCAGTAATTTGGTGACTGCAGAGTGGAAAATGGTTTTCAGGAGCACAGCCTCAGTTAATGGGGAGCCAGTGGGAGGCTGACTCAGAATGTAATCACTTCCCCCTCCCCTACCCCCCTGGCCCCCGTAGTACATGGTGCCGTCTGGAGAAATTATGAACATGGTTTATTTTTATGTGTCTCCATCAGCTACCTGTGTATGGCTCACGATTGGGGGGTGGGGGTGTGTTTCTCCCCTTTCCTGTTATATTGGGCATGTCATCAAGCATACAGAGAAAATAACATTTCTAGATGGTTTATAGGTCTGCTTTGTCACTGACCCAATGCCCTAAGAGGGTCCTGTCTCACTCAGAGTCTGCAAAGAAGAGACACCAAGGGGGTGAAAAGCTGTCCCCAGGAAAAGCCACCAAACTGCAGGGTTTTAGAAAATCATAGTAGGCGATTAAAAAAAAATTGCACCAAGCATTTCTATGAAATAACCTGCAATAGTGAATGTTTCTAGGTAATAACATTGAAAGTTTGTAGTTATTCTGTGTTTTGTGGCATTTCAAGTGCATGCGTAGGTAATATCACGTTTGCTCTCTCAACTTCACGGGAGTACCCATGGAAAGTAGAGGGCATATTTTTTAGGACCCCCTTTATTTGACCCCTTTTATCCTTTTCTACCTCCTCCTGCCCCATCCTTACCCTCTGTTAACCACTAAACTATTGTTCGTGTCTATGAGTTTTTGTTTGTCTGTCTTGTTTGTTGCTTTCAGTTTTGTATCTCACATATGAGTGAAATCATCTGGTTCTCCACTTTTTCTGTCTGACTTATTTTGCTTACCATGATAATCTCGAGATTTGTCCATGTTGTCACTGACACTGAGAACTACAAGATATTATTAAAAGAAATTGAAGAAGATGCAAAGAAATGGAAGGATATTCTGTGTCCATGGATTGGAAGAATCAACATAGATAAAATGATCCTACTACCCAAAACAGAATACAGATGTAATGCAATCCACATCAAAATCCCAATGGCATTTTAAAGAAATAGCACAAAAAATCTTCATGTTTGTATGGAATAATTGTATGGAAGAGGCCCCACGAGGCCAAAGCAATCCTGAGAAAAAAGAACAAGGCTGGAGATATCATACTCCCTGACTTCAAATTGTACTACAAAGCAACAATAATCAAAATGGCATGGTATTGGCAGAAAAACAGACACACAGATCAATGGAACAGAATTGAGAACGAAGGAATAAACCCATATATATATATATATATATATGGGCAAATGATTTTTGACAAAGGAACCAGATGCCATATTTTCCAATAGTTAGACAAGAGGAAGGAAATTTCTATCACACAGGTTTTGTGTGTGATGATCTTCAAGCCTGTCTGAAGATTAGAATCACCTGGGAAACATCTGGTCCCTCTTCCCTCCACCCCCACCCCCCAGTGCTGGCTTTCTGGCTCTTGGTCAGGTCTGGGAATCTGGTTTTGTTTTTCCTTTTTGTTGAAGTAATTGTTCCACATTTTTCTTAGACTTGGGCAAATTTTGGAAGACTGCGCTTAGAGAAAACCTAAATAATGGGTTGATCAAGAAACAGCAAGAGTCATTGGGAAAAGTTTCTCTAGTTTTGACCTCTGATGCTCTTGGCTTAAATGTTGCCCCTACCACTCAATAACTTTGTGCTAATTACTTGAACTCCGTTGTTTTTTTTTCCAGATTCTGTAAAATGGGAGTCATTTTATCATCAGAGAGTATCAGAAAAGATAACTAAACTATGTTTAATTATCCTTAGCTAACACGGTACCTAGAACATAGTAAGTGCTTGATGTGTGACAGTGACTATTATTACTAATGACCAAGCGGTCAAATTGGGAATCACGGCTCTGAATAAAAAACCTAAACCCTGCCTTCATCCTAAAGCAATGGTTCTTAACTAAGGACGATTTTGTTCCTAGGGGACATTTGTTTTTGTCTGGAGGACATTTTCTATGATCACGACAGGCGAAGTGTTTTTGACACCTAATGAGTAGAGGCTAAAGATGCTGCTAAACTTCCTACTATGCCCAGGACAGCCTTTTACAACAAAGACCTATGTGGCCCAAATACAATAGCACTGTGACCTTGAGAAACTCTTTCTCAAAGGGATACTGGGAGAAGTAAAAAGTCTTGGTGTCCCCGTTGTGGAGGTGGATCCAGTGAGACACAGAGGCATTTCTGACGGATGCAGAAGTGGCTCTGGACAAGGTCAGAGGCATGGATGTGCATCCCGGTAGTGCCCTTGACCAGGACCAACCTGTTGCACCGTTCTTTGTGTAGGATACAGTGTGAATGGCACCCCCTTGAGTTGTGTGACGAGGCAACCCTGACCTCAACCCAAAGTATCACTTTGGGTAAATCTTTTACCTCGGGGTGTCTGAGACACCTCGTTTGACCAATAGCCATTAGACTCACCTGGAGAGCTTATTGACATGTAAGCTTCTGACTCCATTCTTTAGAGATTCTGTTTCAGGAAAGGGCAGTAGAAGCCATATTTATAAAAACCACCTCAGGGAATTCTGAATCACAGTTCCAGCCATGCTTGGACCCTATGAGTTCCCTGCCAACTCGGACTTTCAAGGCATCTATGAGACCTGGAAAATGGAGACACGAAGTTCTGCCCATAGCTTCTCCCACCTCACACAAGTTAATAGTTTTTGTGGTTCTGAGGCATTTGGATTAATTTCATGCTTTTTAGTTTTACTATTACTACTGCTACTCATACTATGAACAGTACTTCTGCTAGTGTCAAATCACGATACTAATTAACAGTGACACAGAATGTTAAATGTTGCTCTTTAAGGCTAAGATGAAATAGTCTCAAACATCGTCCTGGTGTATTTCTCCACATCTCACCAGGGATTCTGGGTAGGGAAAGCCTACCCACTCACCTCCAACCCCAAGTTCCTGCTTCCTCTGATGTTGGTCAGTCGCTGGGTCATCTTGTGACCTTTACCCATGGCTGTGTTGACTCAGGCCGAGTTTACCCAATTAACACACCCTCCACTCACACAAGGCCTCAGTATGTAAAGTAGACCTTGTGAAAAGTTTGGATAGGTTCAGGGGACTTGTTACAGAAATCGCTTCACATTGAATCACGTAAATCTTCTGCTTAAGAATTGTCTCTGTGTTAAGAATTGTCTCTGCCAGCATGGACTCCAGGCATCTGCCATGTTGCTGGATTCTGGCCTCCGGGCCTCTTGGGCCCCACTCTGGATGGCAAAATGAGGAAATGAATGAACCAATAAACAATATTTGTATTTATATAAAAAATAGACATATATGTATATATACATATGTATGCATGTGTATGTGACTATATATAAAATAAAAAATATATATGTATACATGTGTGTACATACAAATATATACACACACACATACATACATACACACACACAGATAAATTTTCTTTTGCAGAACAGTTCAGCCATCCCTTCGTTTTGCTCTCTCCTTCCCAAAAAGGGGGCTGTCTTTTCATTCCCTCAGGGCCCACCAAACTGTTTTTTTATGAACAAAGATAATCTCTTTCCTAATGGGAATTTGGTTGCCAGATGTGGGGTACGCAGAGACCCCAGTCCCAAGCATCGGTGTAGCCTCCCACACTCCCCACGCACTCGCACACACCTTTCATTCCCACCAGAATGTTTTGATCTAGTTGTTATTGCCCTTATTTTGCAGGTGAAGACCTGAGCTTCGAAGAAACGATAACAGGTCTAAGCTTTAGGGACAAACCCCTGATTTCTTGATTCTAAATGCAGAACTTTTCCTTCCACAGCAGCAGTTCTTTACCCTGGATGCACATTAGAATCATCTGGGGGGCTTTGAAAGTACTGATGCTGGAACTCTACCCTAGGACAAGTGAAAACAGAATCTCTGGGAGCGGCACTTGGGAAGCTGCACATTTTGAAAGCTTCCCGGTGATTCCAAGGAGAACACTGCTCAGAGGCGTGTTGCTCCTGACACACCAACCGGAAGACTGAGAATGAGCCAGCATGCAGAGGCCAAGGCTGTGCTTCTGGCTTTTTGGGATCATGGAGCACACACTGCTCTCACAACCTCACCCAACCTTCTTCTAAATGTTGTTTCCAGACCCAATCTTTTGGATCACTTGCTAATGTTTCAGATGAGCATTTGCATGGCCGAGAAGCCTGTCCACAATCCTACTTTTTCTTATGCTCTTTTTCCTCCTTCCAGGTACCAAGAAGCATTCTCACAGCTCACCAGCCCCGAGCACTAGCTCCACAGGTCGCCTTACATTGCCAGGTGGGTAAGCGACATTGCGCCATGACCTTAGCGATCACAGACAACAGAAAGGACTGGCTTCTCAGGGGTGGAGATGAACAGTTGGTAAACTGAGAATCTGGCACCTTATTTATGTAGTCTACTCCACATTATCAGAGAGCCTCTGTTGTCCACTTTTGTAAAGTTCCTTCAGGAATGGGCATAATATATCCATATTTGGTTCACAACCTTCCCTGCTTGCTGATGGAAAGAATGTTAGTTCATCTGGTCTGCACACTATGGAAGTATCTCTCTGAGAGACAGACGGTGTTGGAGACAAAATTGTGAACCCTTAGTGAGAGAGAGACGTGCGTTCAAATACCATCTCTGCTATGTGCAAATTATGCAAGCTCACTACACTTATTCAGCGCCTTGGAGCTGTTTTCTCAACATGGAGTCTTGCTTCCTCCCTTTTAAAATTTGCCATTACGGGCTGGCCGAGTGGCTCAGTTGGTTAAGAGCTCGCTCAAGAGTTTGAGCTCTGAGCAACAGTGGTTCGAGTCCAGCCTGAGCTGAGCAGCCGCTGAGCTGCCAACAGGTAGCAGGATGGCTCAGCTAAAAAAATAAATAAATAAATAAAATAAAATAAAATAAAATAAAATTTGCCATTACGTTATGAGATTTCCCCCATGCTATTAAATATATATTTTTTTAAATTTCAGTGATTGACCAAAATTTCATATGATTATACCACGATTTATTTATATTATAGTTACATGTGGGTTTTTGACTGTGCTGGACGTCAGTGCCCCTAACCTCTGAGTTGTTCAGGACTCAAGTATATATTCAATGATAGTTTGCCATGAATGAGCCTGCATTTTTATTGTTACAATCACCTTACCTACATTCTTGTACATAAATCTTTCTATGGATTTAGGACAGATTCCTGTAGATAGGATCACTGGCTCAAAGAACGTGTACATGTAGTTTAGGTTCTTGATACATTATTGTCAAAGTGATTTCCAGAAAGGTACTATTATTGTATACTTCCAGTGGTGATTTTGCCATTTCACTATGCTCTTGCTAATGCTAACATTAATGCTTCAGTAATTTGATAAAAAAAATGATATCTGTATTTGGTTGGTATTACTCTTTTAAAACACTTGTTTTCTAATGTTAATTTATCTGTTACATTTCTTCATTGGGGAATTACCATATTTTATCCATTCTGAAAGGGACAGTGCTTTGCATTTTGAGTCCTCTGGAATAGGAATGTTTTGCAATCAATGGTGTATTATAATTTAATTAGCAGTGTTTTTTTCTTGGTTGTTCATGAGATAATAGTTCACTTTATAATCAGTGGCATCTTAGATGAAATATAATCTATATCTATCTGTTTTTTCAATCTCAATTTCGGTAGCTTCTCCACCCCAGTCCAAGAGCTGGACTCAGTGTCCCCTGAGTGGCCCTTGAACTTTCTTGCTTCTGTCACTCTGGCTGAAATACTCCTTACCCCTTTCTCCCCCTAGCTAATGTCTTTTTGAAGTTTCTCCAAATCATCTAGGTATAATTAATATTGACTTATAATAATTTGCTTATATGCCCCCTTACCCACTGATAGGTGGCTTTTTCAAGGGTGGGGACTGTCTAATTTATTTGTCTGTTTTTTTGCCCCAGTGGCTGTCAAGGTGACCAGCACATGTGGGGTGCTCATTAATATTTATAAGGCCGGGTGTATGCTGTGTGAGTGAACACTGTCCGTTTTAATGTATGACTATAGGGAAGGCGACCATCAGAAAAAGGCTCACTTTCAAGTTTGCATGTGCATCATTATACTCACTTTATACTCACATTATACTCACTTGCATTTTAGGATTGAGCTGACCTTTCACTGTATTCTCTGGAGGCCCCTTTCATCTTGTCCCTGCTAGTGGTTATTGTGTCCTTAGGACTGTAGACATTAGAAGAAAAACAGCTCTAAACCAAGCACCTCCACTGTGTAGTGATGGTGTTTGCTCTTCTTTGGAAGGTCATAACAACCCAGGGTCAGGTGGGACCTCTGACATCATCCTGGACATCTGCAAGCATACACAGAGCTGACATGGTCCCCACCGGCTGTGCTCGAGGCCTATTGCCAGCCTGCTGGGTTTCCAAGGCCTCCAGGATAGTCTCAGCCACCTTCTCTTTGGCCTTAGTTTGGCAGTCTAAACTGGCTCCAAATTGGGTGTCTGAAGTTCCGAGTTCTGACCACCCCCACAGCCTGTAGAGGTGGAATGAGTAGTTCTCAAAACACTTGACATAATTAACCATGCTTTGTCTAGCAGACACTCTCCACCTCACTTGTAACAATGGCCACCTCGCTGCTTCTTCGTTGCCTCCTTCTGACGCAAATGCCTCTACCTCAAGCTCCTCTGCAGGCTGTCAAACAAGTAAAATATTATATTTAAAGATACTCAAAAAGCCAAATGGAGGAAGTATAATCCTTAAAAAAACAAAGTAAAATTGTGTGGAAACAAGAACAGAGATAGAAGCAACTTAAAATCTGAAATTAAAACAAACAAACATATAATCATTGGAATTTTAAAAGAGAAAGAAAAACTCAAGGTGGAACACAGCGAAAAAGACAGTTAATGTGGAAAGATAGTCCTTAGGACTGTATATCAAACACAACATAGAGAGGGAACCACATCACAAATGAAAGAGCATGAACCATAAAATTTTTTTTAAAAGATTTTTATTGGGGAATTGGGGGGATGGGAACAGTGCTGGGGAATTGGGG